ATCGATAACAGCTGTGGATTACAGCTGTGGATAACAGCTATCGATAACAGCTATCGATAACAGCTGTGGATTACAGCTGTGGATAACAGCTATCGGTAACAACTGTGGATAACAGTTATCGATAACAGCTGTGGATAACAGCTATCGATAACAGATGTGGATTACAGCTGTGGATAACAGCCCCGTGCCGCGCTCCCCACCGATCAGAACAAGGCACAGGAAGCCGATTCCTGCTCCCGGGGCTCCTCTGCTGTCACAGGGAGCAGCCGATGCTGGGCCAGGAGCTGGCACGGAGCCGCTCCCTCACTGTGGATGGGACGCTCTGAGCCTCCTGCTCCTTCCAGGGCCGCTCACCCACACTCAGGGGGCTTTTCTCACCCGGAGCAGGACCCTCCTCTCCCTCATCCTCCCCCCCTTACCCAGTCACGGCGCTAATTGCCTTCTTTTCCTTGCAGCACTGGCTGGAGTTCACCAAGTCGGTTGTGAAGCAGATGCGAGGTGAGTGCTGCTGGAGGTCTGGGCAGACTCTGCTCATTCCACCTTGGATTTATTCCCAATTTCTCGTCGCTGTCCCCTCGGGGGTCAGTTCCCAGCCCCCGTGCCAGGAGCAGCCCCCTCAGGAGCTGTTGTGGTGGGTTGGAGCAGGGTTATCCCCACCAGCCCCACAGGCAGCACGGGGCAGCAGCTCCAGGAGAGTGGGACGGGAGGGATGGAGCGAGGGGGTGACACTGGGGACGGGGCAGTGGGCACAGAGCCACTGGCACTTCCCCAGAGCTCTGTCAGGGACCTGCCCTCGCCATGGCCCTGCAGTGAGGAGTGCCTGCCCCTCCTTACCTGGGCGAACAGGGCAGGTGGGGCCCCAGTGTGACCTGGCTCGAGCAGAGAGCTGCAGGGGTGCAGGGGACAGCCCTGGCCTCTGGTGACACGTGTCCCTGCTCTCTGCAGCCCAGCCCCCCTTCACCATGTGCTTCCGAGTCAAGTTCTACCCCACGGACCCCGCGGCGCTGAAGGAAGAGATCACCAGGTGAGGATGGCACTGCCAGGGGCCTGCCCAGCCCCGGCAGCGGGGCAGGAGAACACGGATGGGATCCCTTTGTAGAGCCACTGGGATTTCCCAGCCAGCCGCAGTGCTTTGGGATTGTTCCTGCTGTGGGAAGGAAGCACAGGAGTGCCCACTGAGCTGGTGAGCACCTGGAGCTGCTGTGCCTCGTGGGGAGCCCAGGCTGAGGGTGGGCACAGGTGCCCAGAGCAGCTGTGGCTGCCCCTGGATCCCTGGAATGCCCCAGGCCAGGCTGGACAGGGCTGGGAGCAGCCTGGGATGGTGGAAGGTGTCCCTGCCATGGCACGGGTGGGATGGGATGTGATTTAAGGTCCTTTCCAGCCTGAGCCATCCCTGGGCTCTGTGGTTAAAGGCTCTGGCTTGGTCTTTGGGTGCAGTCAGTTCCAGGCCCACACTGCAGGGCAGAGTGCAGCCCCAGCTCCATGGCACAATCCCTGCTGCTCAGACTGCTCCAGTCCAGGGCAGGCACTGTGCCCTGCCCCAGCTCAGTGTCCTTGCCGTGCTGGGCAGGGCTGGAGAGCCTGCAGCCCCCTGGGATCCTGCAGCAGCAGCAGCAGCAGCGTGTCCCTGTGACGCGGGCAGCGCTGCACAGGGCTGGCAGCACGGCAGGGCTGGCACAGCACAGCACGGCACGGCACAGCCTCTCCTCAGTTCTATCTTTAGGGGCTCTTCGTGCTGCTCCTCCTGCCAGCAGGAAGGACACCGGGGCCCCACGGAGCAGCTCTGGAAACTGAGCTGAGGGTCCCCAGCAGCCCTGAGCCCTGGGGGCTGCCTGGAGCCTGCATGGAAGGGCTCTGAGCTGGCACCTTCTGTGGGGACCCCTGAGAGCCCCCAGGGCCAGAGGGGTCCCTCCCATGGGACCTGAGGGGCTGCAGTGCCAGCCAGGGGCATTGGCTGCCCAGTGCCAGGGCCAAGCTGAGGGGGCTATGGGGAGAAATCCTTCTCTGCCAGGGTGGTGGGGCCCTGCCCATGGCAGGGGGGCAATGCAGAGAAGAATTTCCCCCCAACCCTGATCTAGCTCTGCCTTCTGCCATCCCCACAGGTCCAGGCTGAGGCCCCCGTGCAGGGGAGCTGCCCCTGCTTGCTGCCCTCTGAGGTGTGCCTGCAGCTGCAGCTGGAACCTGGGCTTAAACTCACCTTTCCCTGGACTGACTGCACTCTAATAGCAAGATTTCTCTTTAATGTATTTTATCTGTGAAAATTAATGGTTTACCTCATCATAAACTCAGATTTGAGCAATGAGGCGTGACCGAGGACTGCAGAGTGCAAGTCTGGTTATTTAAATTCATTTCTGAGCGCAGCTCCATTTTGCTCCTTCCCTCATGACTTATGTTTTTACCAGCTAAAGGTTTTCCCAAACGCCACATGACGCAGCCCAAAATGTTACTTAGGTTTAAATTTATTGGAATGTGTAATTTTTCCGACATGGTTTGTCCTTTAGCTGGGCCCAGAGACAGGGATGGGGAGCACAGGAGGCAGCTGGCCCTGGGTGATGCAGCGAGCACGGAGGAGGATGTGGGTGCATACACAGGGCACAGAAAGTTGGGGAAGGAGAAAATCACATTTTGGGGAAGCTGAACACCCAGGGGGAATGCAGCAGGCACTGCTGGGCTCTAGATCAGGAGACCTGGCCAGGGTCAGCCCAGCAGTGCCACATTGGGCCGCTGGGAGAGAGCAGGTGCCTGGTGGCAGGTACTCCATGTCCAGATGGGCTGTTTGGGTAATCTGAGCTGTGCCTAACGAAGGGCTCTCCCCTGTGCCCAGGTACCTGGTGTTCCTGCAGATCAAGAGGGATCTGTACCACGGCCGGCT